AATTATATTCAATTTTATTTTCTGTATGTTAGGTGCACAAGAAACTAAAATTGTTTTATTCTGCTTCACCTATTTCTATACACATAACAAATATACGTTGACTTGTGAGACAGTTGTCTAAAAGCTGTTTTCATATCATAATTTTATAATGAAGACATGTTCATGATGATAAATCAAAAAAGCAAAAGACTAGATAGACAGCCCAAATTATTACATATGTACAATTTAATTTTTAAATTGTTGTTGTTTTTCGCTTGTAAGTCCATCCTGATGAAGTAAACATGGCCAAGGATGAAAATGCAAACTAGGCAATACCTTTATAAATAACCGGATACTATATTTCCAATCACAAAATATACTTACCCATCCACAATGAAATAATGTTTTCCAACTGCCAGCTTGTATAGAGTTTAACATTTTAGCTTGATTTTTATTTAAATTGTACATTTTCCTATGGTTTTTAGATTCATTGTGGCTGCTTTAACTTTAACAGGCTTTCCAAATAAATCAGATTGAGTGCTGCTGCTGTATTTGTTGCAATCAATAACTTAAAGATAAAAAATCCAAAATAAAGCATAATAAAAGGCTTTTGTTAGATCCTGGCAATTTTAAACTAATTGTGCAGGAACACAAGGTGAGATAGGTATTCAAAATTGTAAATACATGGGAAATGATGGGTCCAGATGGAGTCCCAGGGAAGGCTGTCCAGGAATGTGCAATTGGCTGGGGTTCATTCATCCTGGCTATGACTTATTTGAATTATTACTATCCGGCAGATGTTATAGGAAACCTAAAAGTTAGAACAAATGGTTATCGAGGGTAGGCTGTCAAGGAATATGCAGAGCAATTGGCTGGGGTTTTCACTAAGATCTTTAATCTGTGATTATTGTTAGCTATTGTCCCATCCTGTTTAAAATCTACTATTATTATCCCTATCCCCAAGAAGTCAGTTATAGACAGCCTGGACTATTACAGGCCAACAGTGCTTACTTTGGTGATTGTGAAGTGCCAAAGGAGATTAGTCATGAGGTATATTAAGATACGTTTACCAAGTAGTCCTGACCCCCATCAATTTGCCTACTGAGCAAATAGAAGTACAGAGGACGCCATTACGTTAGCACTGCATATGGCATTGAGTCTTCTGAAGGTCCCAGTAAACTATGTGAAAATGCTGTTTAAAGTCTATGGTTTTGCCTTTAATACCATTATTCTAGACATACTGATTGAAAAGTTTCTGAAGCTGGGTCTTCCACTTTCTATCTGCGTTTGGCTTAAGGATTTTTTTTTGCAAACAGATTTCAGGTGGTTAAAATGGGCTGATATTCCTCTTCTGAGTGACAATTTAATATCGGATTTCAACAGGGCTGTGTGTTGAGCCCTCTTCTTTATGCTCTTTATACCAATGATCGTACACTGTATTACTGTACACACAGAGTTATTAAATTTACTGGGGATAGTCTGTTGCATTAAATGAAGGGATGAGTGGAGGCTGACAATATAGTAAAGTGGTGTGCAGCAAATTTAACCTTGAACATGAGGAAATCTAAAGAGCTAATTCTGGACTTTCAGGAAAAATAAGACTGCAATGGCTCCACTTTTTTTTCATTAGAGTGACTATGTGGAGAGGGTCTCCACATAGTTAAAGTTGCTCGGGGATATATTTCTGATAATCTTTCATGGTCAGTAAATGCAAACGCTGTTATTAATAAAAGCTCAACAGGGATTCAACTTTCTGAGATTACTTAGGAAAAATAGTCAGGGGGAAAGTATTAGAGACCTTCCATTGTTCATCAATTGAGAGAGCACTGATGTAGTGTATTTTTAGTATGGTACCCCAATTGTACCTCAGCTGACAGGAATGCTCTTCAGAAATTAATCTTCACTGTGCAGAAAATATTGGGTCATAAACTCCCCTCCATAGTGGAAATGTATGAGTCTCACTGTCTTTGTAGAGTGGAGAAAATATAAAGTTATTAATTTTATCCTGGCTATCACTTATTTGAATTATTACTATCCGGCAGACGTTATAGGAAACCTAAAAGTTATAACAAATTGGTATCGAGAGAGCATTTCTATGTGGGCTTTTAAGTCCATAAATGTAAAAATTAATACGAGTTGGATAACGAATTGGTCAGGGTTAGTGTTTTGTTACGAGTATTATGCGGATGTTTACTATTTATCTTATCTGTGATGTTAAACTACAGTGTAATTGACACTGTCCATGAAGTGCCTTCTATTCTGTGACATCATATATAGCTTAAAGGCATCTCCCAAACATGTATGGTGTTTTCCTATGTCCTCTTAAAAGTTAAATTCAATGGATGACCCTCTCTCCACTGTATGGTACTATTTATTTATTTTTTACATTGGTACATTTCCCTCATGTCAGTTCCTGACCCCTTGCCTATAAACCTTGAAAATGGCTAGAATGTATTACCGATATCCCCCATAGGCCTTAATTACATGGCTGCACCGATTTACACAGTATCTAGCTGAGCAAGATTGCAGTAGGTAGACATCAAAGCTGCTATATGACTGAATAACACCTATAGAATTCAGCCACTGCCATCCGCTGTCAATCATAGCTAATGTGGACCTGATGAGGAACCAGTCTCTCAGAGCTCCTTATCATGCTCCATCCACCTGATAACTCAAATTCATGGCTGCATTTGCTGTTGCGTGGGCTTTACCCACTGTCAGGTCAGTTTGATCTGCATCCTTAGTTGCTAGGACTTGGGTGACCTTTATCCTAGTAGCCAATTATGTAAATGTAAAACACATTTAAACATAATAATGAACTACTGAACACTAAACACCACCCCCTGTATGCCAACCTTGAGTTGATCTTTGTTACCACTTGTCTGCGAAGTGGCAGCAATTTTTTTAGAATCTGTCACAGCCATTGTGACAAATTCTAAAAGGGGCAGTAGTAAGAACATTATTTTCCATTGTAGGATGGTCTAATCTTATTAAAATGATTTGGGCCCCACAATGACTTTATGTTTTGCATAGCTCTCCTACCTAGATTACCCAGCATTGGTTTAAACACATAGGCTGCCTATTTAGGGACCATGGAGGGGTAAGAATCCAAGAATTCGCCTACCTAGTTTACAATTGCCTAAAGATGGTGGAGGCCTATCTATTCCCTCAATGAGAATATATTTTCTTGCTGGCCAGCTACAGCATTTTTCTGGTTGGGGTGCTGTTAACGTTAGAGACCCTATACAAACCATACTCTTGTCAAGGGTGGGTAAATACTCTTTAGTGGCTCAACTGAAATTGGGGAGATATTGGGACAACTCCCAATATCCCACCTTGGTTCTTATGCTTAAAGTATGGGAGGAAATGAAGGGGATCATGGGCTACAGGGGTAGGGCTTCTTATTTGCCCCTGTGGGAGAGGGGTCGCTTGACTGAGCTATAGAAGTTGCAGGGCTTTGAAGACTGTTACGCTAAAGGCATTAGCTTTCTACACCAATAATATACTATTGACCGATTATAATCTTTCCAAGATATACATACAGAGTTTGTTCTTCCTCCTCAGTGGTTCTATCAATTTCTCCAGCTTTGGTATGCCCTGTCTGTACAAGCTAAGCAGACTAACCTTAAACTGGTGTCCACCCCACTCATAGATCAGTTGAAACTACAACTAACAAGTGGAGACTTATGTCATCTATATACAAATCACTATTGAACAACTTCCTTGGAAACATCCAGCTCCATGGTAGAGTAGGGTAGGCTAAGGATATTGCCTCCATGGATGGGGAGATTTGGCAAGCCATTCTGGAACAGGTTGCTCTAGTGTCCCTTTCAACATCCCAACATCAGTCCCAGCTTTTTATTTTACACAGCATGCACCGCATGCCACAGAAGCTGTACCAATAGCATCACAGGGATAGTCCAGATTGCTTCAGATGTGCCGGTTTCACGGCAGACCTCCTTCATATGCTCTGGAATGCCTGAAATTAGTTAGATATTGGCAGGATATAATCAATATTATTAACCGGGCTTTTCAGATTCACCTACGCAATGACCCCTTGACATGCATCCTTGGGTTCTTGGATGAGGAGCTTTTGACTCCCCATGCCCAGACATCTTTATCCAGACTATTATTTTTAGCTCGTAAATGCATTCTGTTGAAATAATTTCCCTTTCACACAGGTTTAATACATGGTCATAGACAGAGTATGGGCTTGTGTGGATGTGATGTTGAAGTCCCAAAGTTCTATTTTTTTTTTCTATTTTGTTTTATGGTTATATTTGCTTGATTTTTCTCTTTGCACATAGTGCTGGACACACACTGTATTTGTACAACAAAATTGCATGTTTGATACTAGAAATTATGCTATATTTAATGCTCTGTACCTTACTTTGTTTTAATCTTTTCGTTTTGACTTTTGTACTGTTAAAAAGTTTTGAATTAAATTATTTTGAAAAAAAAACAATCTGAATCTGGCGCAGGTTTCAGTAATTGTACCAAAACTGGTGAAAGACTTTTATGAATTAGGTGAAGGCAATGTTAAAGGCCCCATACCTCCAAAAAAGTGATGTTAGTGCTTTGTTGATCTCCCCTGATAAAGTTTTATAAACTTTTAACAATTCAGACCAAAGAACCATGCCAGTTGTTCCCTGTGTTGCTCACCTTTTGGAAAAAAAAATCTAAATTAGAATTTTTTTATAGTTATCTTTTTAACCACTTGACTACTTGGCACTTATACCCCCTTCATGCCCAGGCCAATGTTCAGCTTTCAGTGCTGTCGTACTTTGAATGACAATTGTGCGGTCATGCAACACTGTACCCATATGTAATTTTGATCATTTTTTTCACACACATAGAGATTTCTTTTGGTGGTTTTTTAATTGCTGCTGGGTTTTTTATTTTTTACAATATAAACAAAAAAGAGCAACAAATTTGAAAAAAAAAAGTTTTTCTTTGTTTCTATTATAAGATATTGCAAACATGTAATTTGTCTCCTTTGCTGATGTGCGTTAATGAGGCTTCACTGATAGGCAGCACTGATGGGCACTGACAAGGTGGCATGGACAGGCAGCACTGATGGGCACTTAAAGGGTGCACTCATGAGGTGGCACTGATGAGGCTGCACTGGTAGGCATTGATGAGGAGGCACTGATGATGCTGCACTGATATGCAGCAATGATGGTCACTGATAGGTGGCACTGATAGGTGACACTGATGGCCGGCGCTGACTGACGGCACTGACTGACAGCACTGACTGATAGCACTGACTGGCGGCACTACTGGGCACTGATGGCCGGCACTTATGGGCACAACTGCTGGGAAGCACTGATGGGTGGCACTGCTGGGCACTGACAGGAGGCACTGGTGGAAGGCACTGCTGGGCACTGCTGGGTGACTTTGGTGGGAGGTACTGCAGGGCACTGATCATCAGGCACTGATCATCCGTAGGACACAGCGATCAAGGAGACAGCCGGGTGCGTGCCACTGGGGGCACGTGGAAGGGGCGTTCTGGGAGGACATCATATGATGCCCTCCCAGAACTGGATAACCATGCTGCAATGTATGTGTCAACATTTACAAGCCTACAACATATGGTGTACATGGATCCTATTGGTCACTGCCACTCCTCAGGGCTGACGTGAAAATGTCAACAATTTGTAGCCAGTGGCACCACTGCTGATCCTTACACATTCTTGATGTTTACATATAAGCCCTGAATAGGTGGCATCAGTGTAGTGATAATTTTGTAATTTATTCATATAAAGCAACAGGCACCACAGGTCTCTTGCATGCCTTTTAGCATATTCCAAGCTGGGTTTTTTATATAGGTATTTTTAGCAATCTCTTCTTTCTCTATATTTTCCTATTAGGCAGTGTATAGCTTTGTGGAGTGTCTATAATGTTCCCTATGTATTCTGCTATATAGAGTATGCATTTCTTTAGCTATTTCAGAATTACCATTGGCCTTTTTTTTGTTTCTCTCACTAATGCTCACCTTTCCTTGAATTATTTAACCAAAACCATATTCTTGTTGGGGAATTAATGCTTACTGTCTTTGGGTTAAAAGAGAGTTTGAAGTTTATTTCAAACAAACAAGATATACACACACATGGTACATTTAGCACATACAGAGCTCAATTTTATACCATTTGTAAGCACAATTAAAGCTATTATCATGGGCATGTGCCTGGGTCCCTCTGTCTTTAGGCTGGGGCTCTGTTTGTTCTGCCCGTAGGGAACCTGAGTCTTGCTGTATGCACCTAGCATAGTACTTCTGCTCCTAGTACTCTCTAGCCCCTTCTGTCTTCCAGTTGCAATCAATCCACAATCAGATCAGCTTAAATTGCAGGACTTCTTATGGACTGTGTCCGTTTGTTGGATCTGTTTCCCTGGGTGTGTGCTATACTTCCAAGCTATTGAAATTCTGGACTTTGACCTTTGCCTGATTCCTGCACTACTCTCTTTGCCTGATGATTCTACATTACTCTGCCAGTCTGTGTATGACCCTGCCTGCCTTCGACTATGCTTCTGGATTCTGATTTCGTACCTAGCTATCAAGATTTGTTGCTGACCAGGCCTGCCTGACTACACTAATGCTCCAACCAGCCAAAGCTCCACTCTGGACTAAACCTTTTACAAGTACCTTACACAATATACATTTACTTACTGGACAGTCATCTTATCAGTAAAAAACAAATAAAAAGAACTACAAATACATTGCTGCTTAGGACATATTTAACTATTTAATTCCTACAGTTTTTAACAAATTCCAAATTAAGCTAAACATTATTTAGTAATGTTTTAGGAATGTTTTCATTTTCTTTAAAACATGGTGCCAGCCAGTGCTAGGTTATAAAAAAACAATGGGTGAGAATGAGTAAACTTAAAATACAACTCCATTCAAGTCTACAGGTTCAGTCACATGGACATATAATAAGCTATGTACAGGTGTGTAAAGCATATACTTTTATACACACCTGTACACAGCAGTATAGAAGGCTATGGGCCTTTTCACATAGCTGCATCTTGTAATGTAATGTTGTATTGCATTAGGAAGCATATAAAAATTGAACAACACTGCATCCAGGGCCATATTTGGACCATGTTTTACACTGTACACTTGTAAACATTTGTGCTATCATTTACATGTGTAAACGACATAGCCTACATGGACCCTATTGGTCACTGCCAGTCCTCAGGCCCAATGTGTAAATGTCAACAGTTTGTAGGGAGTGGCAACACCACTGATGGTTATAGACTATTAATATTTGCATATAATCCCTGAAGAAGTCATTCATAGGGAGGGATAGGAAAATACGGATGTTCACCAGCACACCTTGGTATAGTGGTAATTGTGTCCTTTGCAAGCAACAGGCATCTTAAGTATACTATACCAAGTTGTGCTCATGAAGATCCTTATTTTTCTATGACTGCATAGTGGCACCATCCACCAATTGATCACAGCATCCTGCACAATTGTGGGCGAGCCTGTAAGGAGTGTAACAGATACGATACAACTACTCAGGGTGGTGGTGCACATGCAATCAAGATCATTTATTTGTTTATTACAGGTTTTTCTACAGCACCAACAATTTTACTCAGTGCTCTACAAACTGAATATACACAGCAGTTCCTGCCCTCAAAACATAGGTCCCTAACTCATATGCATACATACACACACATAAAATAGCCACTTTGTAAAAAGCCACTTAAACTACCAGCATACTTTTGTAGCATGGGAGGAAATGGGACTACCTGGAGAAAACCTATGCATGCACAGGTAGAACATGCAAACATGCATATAATGTCCTAATCAGGATTCAAGCCAGGGACCTCAGTGCTTCAAGGCAGAATATTCTATACATAAATGACTCATACAGAGCTGATACATTACTTTCAAAAGTATATGATCAGTGGAGGTTGTGCCATTGACTCCACAGTGAAAACTTCCAATAGGGTCCATTTATGCTGTGTGCTGTATGTGTTTAAACATTAGCAGAAACATTACATGTGTACAGCATAGAGACAACTTGCCCCCCAACTGGCTGGGGAGGGAGGGCTTGCACAGAAGAAGGAATGACCAGTATGGACACTCCTCCCTAAGTGCCAGCAAGGAGAGATTCATCTACCTTTCTCTGACAGGTACATAAATCAGTAAAAAGCACTGCCACTTTCAGTGCTGTACTCTGATTAAATTCTAAAAGGTGTCTATGACATTCTTTATGAATTCCCCAGATTTGCAGATGGTTAATAGCAGTCATCACCTTGAGAATACATACCTACTGTGAATAATAATAATGATAATCATTACTGCTGTGGGAATATTTTAACTGGAAAAGACTGAGTAAATTGTTGGATAGAAGGCTTGATGGATGGAGTTAAATACTAGAAAGTATAAAGGGAAACTTCTTTCAGGAGGCAAAAGAAATGAGACTGAAGTGGAGGTTCTCCTAGCAGTAGGATAATGATCACCAGATATGGAGTGGTTTAAACCAAGAACTTGAATGTCCTCGAACTGTCTAGCCAAAGCTCAGACCTCTATCCTAATGAGAATTTGTAAGATGATTTGAAATTGCTGTTTACTGAAACAGCTTTTATTGAATCTGAAAAAACTACAGCAATTTTAGTAAGTAGAATGGGCAAAAATTGCAAATGCAGATATGCAAAGTTGGAAGAGACTTACCTTCAAAGATTTGCAGTGGTAATTGCAGCCAGTAGTGTCTGTATCTCATGGATTAAATATGTATTCAAATGTCTGCTTTTTTGTTTACTGATATAGTGCAAAAATGTAATAAATGTAAACGTGTTTACACACGTAAATATGTCTTTCGCCAATCCCCTGACGACACCCCTTGTGAGGAAACGTGTCAGATGGAGACTAACCTGTTGACATCATCACACCTGCCACATCTTGTGGAGTGGTTTCTTACTGTTTGCCTATATTAAATGCTCGTGAGTACTCCCTTGCGCTTTAATAATTGAGGTATTTTTAAACTGTATCACGTTATGTAGGGCATTGTTTTTCCTCCATGATCTATGCTATACTTACTTATGGCTGAGGCTGATGTGAGATTCTGGAGATTAATTCAAAGGCAGCTGGTTGCAGATGCAGCAGCATTCTTTATCCTTGTATGCACTGATAAACTTATGTTTTATGTTTTACTTTTCAGTAAGGAGTTCATCTGCACAGTGGTAGTGGAACACAGATGTTGGCACGTGTTTGGAGTGACTTTTTTTCACAAATCCTCACTGGATATATATTATATTTAGACTTTGTGTTTCTGCACTGCTTGTATTTTTCTGTGGCTTGCAAGGTTTTGTGATACATGGAATGTGAGAGTCTCATTGCACCTACTGCTATAAGCACATTACAGTTTTTGTTGGTACTTTACTATTAATATATTTAAAGGGGTATTGCAATATATTTTTTATTTTTAAAAATGTAATAAATTCAGCCACATTTTTAAAAATAAATAAAATTATTGCAACCACAGTCAGTGCATTGGGGTGAAATACACAGGCTCCTGTCTGTTAAAAATTTAGGCTTAGATCTGTACAGAGGTAATGACCTTCAGTTATAGGGCCAAAGGGAAGACTACAAGTGTGAAGTCATCGCACTTGTGCCAGTGCAATCTGTGAGCCCCTCTGCCGTTGTGGCAGATAGGACTTGGAGTCTTCCCATTCAAATATTCCCTTGAATAGATTTTAAATAGATGATGTGGCGGTGTGGGTGGACCTACACACAGCCAGGCTAAATTCACACAGCCATAGTATCCTCCAGGGAGAAGCACCTAGGGAGATGCAATATTTCCTATAGATACCAGTACATTTCAGAACTGCTAGTAGGTAGAGGCTTCTAGTTATCATGGCCATTTCTCAGAATGTATAGACTTCAAGTCCACTTCTTACTTCAATAAAAAAAAGGGTGAAGGGGGTTTAATAAAAAGTGGAGTTGGGATTACTTTTCTGTTTGGCACCAACCCAATGACATAGCAGCCATTACTGGACACGTGGTCCTTAGAGATGGCCAGCACAAACCCTAAAGCTGGGTCCTGACAGTGTGATTTCTCCATTGTCAGAATACATTGATTAGCGCTGCAGCTGATTGGCTGCTAGCCACTGATTGCAGGATGTTTTACAGCAGGACCATTAGACAAACACCAATCTAATGATTGGCATCTGTTGAATCTGTAGGCCTATGCATAGATCAGTATTCAAGCGTGTCCTTACTAAACTGGCTGATTTTCATTTAGTGTATACCTAGCCTAAGAGTCGAATGCTCTTTCTTACCCACTTAGTCAAATTGAAGCATTTTCATGTTGTGTTTATCAGGTAATTTCTAAATTCTGACAAGTGTGCTTTATTTTATGAGCCCTTTCTATACAGTATATAGTAAATGTTATTAAAGTGTTACTAAACCCACAACAG